AGGTCTCCCCTCAGCCTCCTCTTCTCCAGGCTGAATAACCCCAGCTCCCTCAGCCTCTCCTCATAAGACTTATTCTCCAGACCCTTCACCATCTCTGTCCAGGGATGGTGACTCAACCCCCTCCCTGGGCAGCCTGTTCCAATGCCCGACCACTCTTTCAGTGAAAAATTCCTTCCTAATGTTCAGTCTAAACCTCCCCTGTGGGTCTGCGACTAATTGGATGGACTTGGTAGCTAAAAGCTGAATGACAAGTCAGATACGTCTTCCCTTATTTCCTCTTGTGAGTAAATGAAATAAACTTTGCTTATCTCAAGTCCTACCTCGTGCAGCTCAGCGTCTCACCCCCCCACACCTCTGAAATCATTTTCCTTGGAAAGGTGTTCAAAAGACGGGTTGATGTAGTGCTGGGAGGGATGGTTTAGTGATGATGCTCCTTGTTTGTTGTGTGGGTGTCTATTTTTGTCAGTGAGGTTGACGGTTGGACAAGATGATCTTGAAGGTCCCTTCCAACCTAGAAGATTCTGGGATTCTGTGTCAGAAATAGAAGTGCTTCTTACTCCTATTAACTTTTTTACCCAATTCCCCGTTTACACGTGTCCCAATTAATTAATACAATGTCCAAAGCTGAAGGCACTGTAAGCTGTATCATGAAGGCACCATAAACTGTATCAGGAAAGCTGAAGGAGCTAATTGACAATTACCAGACCTTCCTAAGGATATAAATCATGGATGGATGCAGTGAGCCTTCCCAGAGAAATACTGTGGTGCCAAGATGATGCAGGTTTTCAGGAAGGGAATGAGATGGAGGTGAATTTTAACGAGCCTGAAACGGAGGACAGATTTCATCAGCAAAGCTGCTGGTGGTTTCTACTCCCAGGACTCCTGAAAACCAAGCTGAGTGGGTAATTGCATGATTTCAAGCAGTTTCTCTGCTGAACTCCCCACGGATCCTCACATGTTCTTCAACTTCTCTAGGGCAAGCTGCCAGCACGGATCACGGTGCCCCTGTCGGTGATCAGCCAGCCCGTGAAAGGCAAGAGCGTGGTGACTGCCCCCATCATCAAGGGCAACCTTGGGGCCAAGTGAGTATTTGGAGTTAGAAATAAGCTGAGGAGGGTCTGTGTTCAGTGGGTTCCTGGGGACCTTGCAAGCAGAGGGTGGGATAGACATCTAGTCCGTTGATAGGTCCATTAGCTGCAAGAAATGGAACATGGACAGGGAACTACTAGAAAGAGTCCAGCGAAGGGCAACAAAGATGATTCAAGGATTGGAGCATCTCCCTTATGAGGAGAGACTGAGAGAGCTGGGACTCTTTAGTCTGGAGAAGAGAAGGCTGAGGGGAGACCTTATCAATGCCTACAAGTATCTCAAGGGAGGGTTGAAGGAGGAGGGAGCCAGACTCTTTTCAGTGGTTCCCAGTGAGAGGATGAGGGGCAATGGGCACAAGTTGGAACAGAAGAGGTTCCACTCAAATATGAGGAGAAACTTCTTCATGGTGAGGGTGACAGAGCCCTGGAACAGGTTGTGGAGTCCCCTTCCTTGGAGAGTTTCAAGCCCCACCTGGATGCTCCTGAGTAACATGCTCTGACAAGCTCTAGGCAATCCTGCTTCAGCAGGGGAGTTGGACTAGATGATCTCTATGGTCCCTTCCAACTCTAAAAAATTCAGTGAAATTCAGTGAAATGTGGTATCGTGCCCTGAGGTGCAGGTTCTACAAATACACTGAAGAAAATATGTTCTCTGCTTGTCTTGAAACCAGCTATTAGATTAGTTCTGTTTGAGCAAGAACAAACCTAAAAATATGTGCCATCTGAGGCCATCTCTCCGTTAAAGGAACCAGGGAAGTGTTAACTGCCTCGGTGAAAATTCCTCTGATTCAGATATTGAAGTCTTTTTGTTTATTCTTCCATGAATTCTAGTGGTGTCCCCTGTAGTTAATATCTCCAGGCAGAACACTCTGTGCCTGGCTATTTTCTGCCTTCCTTGAGAAGTGTTCAGCTCTGAGCAGACTAACCCAGCGACGTGCATGGTCCAGAATCAGAGGGTTTCATTCCTGTGATAAAGTAATTCTCTTATCATAGTGATAAATGTTGACATAGACTTGTCTGCTATTTGTTGGTTTTGTAGGGAAAAACACCCCACGCTGCTTAAAATCATAAGTAAATTTAGTGAGTAACTTTAATGAATGTGAAAGACCCAGCCTGCTCTGCTCTTTATTAACCTCTCCACGATTCTCTTCCCTTAGCATCAGTGGGTTGGGCAGAAATATCATCCTGACCACGATGCCAGCGGGGACAAAACTCATCGCTGGGAACAAGCCAGTGAGTTTTCTGACTGCACAGCAACTGCAGCAGCTGCAGCAGCAAGGCCAGGCCACGCAGGTAACGGCACCTAGAATGATATTATTTGCTTTTTTTATAGGACTTAACGTCTCCTCTGGGAGTTCCCTCCCATAACATCCTCGTTAGGAAATTGAGGAAGTGTGGGCTAGATGAGGGGGCAGTGAGATGGGTTGAGAGCTGGCTGTGTGACAGGACTCAGAGGGTTGTGATTAATGGAGCAGAGTCAAGTTGGAGGCCTGTAACCAGTGGTGTCCCCCAGGGGTCAATACTCAGCCCAGTTTTGTTCAACATATTCATCAGTGACATGGCCAAGGGGACAGAGTGTATCCTCAGCAAGTTGGTTGATGATACCAAACCCTGGAGAAGAGAAGGCTGAGGGGAGACCTTCTCAATGCTGACAAGGATCTCAAGGGTGGGTTGAAGGAGGAGGGAGCCAGACTCTTCTCAGTGGTTCCCAGTGACAGGACGAGGGGCAACGGGCACAAGCTGGACCATGGGAAGTTCCACTCCAATGTGAGGAAGAACTTGTTTGGGGTGAGGGTGGCAGAGCCCTGGGACAGGCTGCCCAGGGAGGGTGTGGAGTCCCCTTCTCTGGAGATCTCCAAGCCCCACCTGGATGCTCCTGAGTGATGTGCTCTGGGCAGAGGGGCTGGACCAGAGGATCTCTAGAGGTCCCTTCCAACTCTGACAGTTCCATGTGATCCATGTGTGACTTCACCCATGATGCTGAGGGTTCCATAAAGCTTGGCCATAGCTCCACAGCTTGGCCGTAGCACCTGCATTAAACACATGCAGTGCGTCATCTCCTTTACCTTTCCTCCACCCAGATACAGTTTTTATCTGTTTTTGAAGCACTGAGAGTGTAAGGGATGTAAAACCAAAGATCTTGGCAGGAAGCCACCTGTGTGAGGGATTGTTTCTGTACTTTATTAGGCTTTTTTTGTTGTACTTTGGCTTCTGTGCGTCACCACTTCGTGAAGAAATCACATTGCTGCTTTGCATATCCAGCTTTTCTGTCTGGAGACTTGGTGGTCTGTAATTCCAAATAATTAATCTTTATTGAGAGCTGCTTGTAACATATTTGTAGAAGTGAAGTACCCAGTGGATCCAAGTTCTTCTGAAAACTTGCAAAAGCAGCTGAATAGGTTTTTATTCAAGCTAATTCTTACTTCTTCCTCTCTAATCTGAAGATCTCTTGCCATCAGCCCACATAGACAGTGGTCTTGTGACAGATTCTGCTCTCAGTGTGATCTTGTTCATAAAACTGAATTTTTATTGGCAGCAGAAACATAATTTACCAGCGTTTTCAGAGTGCAGCGTGTCAGCAGGTTGTTCTTGACGTGAGTTGAGATTTTTTTTTTTCTTTCCATTTCAAACAGGTTCGAATTCAAACTGTCCCAGCCTCCCACCTCCAGCAGGGCACGGTGTCTGGCTCCACTAAAGCGGTTTCCACTGTGGTTGTGACGACAGCTCCGTCTCCAAAGCAGACCCAAGATCAGCTGTAAACACTGGTTTGGACACAGATGGCTTTCCAAGAACTTCCCTCAGCCCGTGGTCGTCCTCCATCCAAGCCCCCAAGACTCCCTAACCCCAGTCCTGGCCTGGG